ATTACCTTCATTATCAACAATGATCTCCACCTCCATTACTAACCATCTCTCCATTAAGCTCTACTAAAGGCTTGTTGGCATCACCACCAACACATCAACCTTCGTCACCGAGATCAACACATGCAAATGTTATGAACTCTATGATTTTGGTTATGAAGTGGAATTACATGCATTTTAGGTTATTAATTGAATTTAATTTTGGATTATTTTAGGTCAAGGTTATAAATCGAACTATAAGCATTTAAATCAATTATGTTTTCATTTAGGTTTTGATATTACATTTGTTTCAGAACTAAAATCAAGTCATGTCATTGTGAGTGACGATAGAGTTGAAGTGTCTAAAATCGAAGTAGAGTTTGTAGAATCCTACTGATTTCCCAATGTCATTGTTTCTTTAGGAAACATAGACTATATCACTAAGTATGAAACACTTCTAAAAGACACAGATTTGGTCCACTTCGAGAGGTTATCAAATAAGAGGATATCAAGTTGATTCATTACGAAATTTTGTTGAGTGACTTGTCTGTGGGAGATATTGTAGATGCAAACCACATGAATGAGTGGTGGACGGGAAAGATTTTGCATAAAATAAGGAGAAAATACTTTGTGCATTTTCAACATCCAAGTGAATAAATTTTGTTTCCATTGAAAATCTTAAGGGTTCACCAAGAATAAGGCAATGATGTATGGATTTATTCCAAGATATATTCCTCATTTTTATTATCATGGAAATGTTGTTTTATTTGATAACCAAGATATTTGTTATGTTTCCCTTGTGTGTTTTTGTCCTTGTTTTTATTAGAAACAATGTATGCTTTAAACATAAGGGTAAATGTCATTGTAACCCAATCAACTATCGAGTTTTGTTTTAAAAGCTCCCTCATCTTTTTTTTGTTCTCTATGGGTATAATCTTGACTTTTATGGTTTTAAAACGTCCCTTTTAAGAAAATGAAGGGGTTATCCGGTGAACCCCTTCCTATTCAATAATACAAATTGCCACGTTATTTAATGAAACTTGCCATCTCTTAAATCTTTATCTCATTCTTCTCTATTTGTCTTCATGTTTAGATTCAAGTTCAAGAACACAACGTAAAAAAACTTCTGATTAAACACTTCAACTAGCTTCCTGAGTTTAAAAAAAAATTAAAAAAAATAATAAAAAAAAACTTTACATTACTACTTAAACTACTGTAAGTAAACTCAACAACAAATCCTTAAATTCCTTGTGCATATATTTACTGCTTTCTTCACCTTCATCTGCGATGAGAGATCACCTTCATCTAATATTGTTCTCACCATTTTCTTCCACTTTTCTTCAAAAACATCCTAAAATCACGAAATCCTCCATGCCTCGGACAAAAATGAATTCAAAATGAGGTTAATCATCATAATTTTCAGAAAACAATTTGTAAATAATGTGGATTTTCTTTTCGATCTTACCTTAATAGAATTAGCAAGCTTGTACTTATGCATGATCCAATTGGTTTTAGACCCATTTTGGGGCTTTGCCTCGGTAGAAGACCAAAGTTTTCTTCGAATGGTTATGTGTTGTGCTAAATTGGCTTAAAATAGATGCAATATGTATCCTGTGTGTATGGCCCAAAAGAAATTGGAAATCGATATATAGGGGTTCCGATGGTCTCTTCCCCTTCGAGTCATGAACAGAGCTATTTGTTGTTGTTGTGCGTGTCTCTCAACTCGTCCCTTCAATCGATGACTTCCAAGCAAGATGGCTTCCAACCTCCAAGCAATTTGGAAACCGTCTGCCATCTTCAACCTCTAACACCACCACCAATCACCATCGTCTTCCACCACAATCGTCCACATACCTGAAAAACAATTCTAGGTTTCAGAAAAACGATTCCACATGGCTTCCAAGCAAGATTATCAACGAACAAAAACAAAAACAAAAACACGTGAAATCGGAATGAAGAAGATAGTCGAACCTATTGCGGACTCATGCCCTTTGAACTCCGATTGCAGACCAACCTTCAGTTTCTTCAGCCTTTGCGTAACATCCTTATTGGGTTGTTGTGATGCTTCACCGAGTTGTACATCCATGTAAATCAGAATGAAGAATAGATTCAAACCTAGGATACCAAGTAAAGAGAGAAACCTAATAAGAATAAGGCTAATCTCTAAGGCGAAGGTCGATGAGAGCGAATCAGGAAGGTAGGTGTCTTGCTTGAACATGAACATAAAGTCTTATGTGGTGGGTGAAGATGCGAGTGATGTGTATTATAGTTTAATTTTCTTTTTATTGAAAAATGTTAAATCATTAGGTAGACCAGCAGTTGCAAGTCAAGTTCCCTTTTTAACAGGTAAAAATTGATTTTATGCCTCTAAACTGCAAAAAAATAACATTAAGGACCTTTTAAAACAAAACCCGATAGTTGATTGGGTTACAGTGACATTTACCCTAAACATAAAAGCTATCAAGTTTGGTTACATTTGTTGTGTCCAGTTATTTTCTTTTAATGTTCCCTTGAATTGTTTGTGTACTTTGTTGTTAATGAATTATAAGGAAGTTGGAACATGTATATTACTTGTTGTGACATGTGTTTGTGATGATTACATAATTTGGGATGGTGGTGGTTGTGATGGTGGTGATAGAAGGATGATGGTTGTAAGGGTTATGATGACAATAGGTTGGTGGCGATAGAAGGATGATGGTTGTGAGGGTTATGACGATAATAGGTTGGTGGTGGCAACAACAGTGAGGTGGTGGTGGTGGCAGTAGTAATGGTTGTTGTGATTGTGGTGGCTGATTGATTTAATCCAAGTGTGTTCAAAAAACACATGTTTTCAATCAAAATGCATTTTATTCATTTTTACATGTTTGGATAAGTAAACGTTATGTAGGCCATTTTTTTCCATATTTTTGAATAGTTTGTGGCATGGGTGGCTCAACTAATTTAGAGGCTTTAAGCAAACCAAAAAATTGGGGGCCTTCAAGTAAGTAAACAGTTTTAACCTTGAGACCATTTGTTTTATAAACCAATGTTTTTACCACCAAACCAAGCTTCATCTTGTCTTTATATCCCAAAAAATACATATATATATATATATATATATATATATATATATATATATATATATATATATATATATATATATATATATATATATATATATATATATATATATATATAACAAAATAAACTTTGAAATTGGGGGCCCTTTAGAAATAAGCTCGCTAAACCCTTGCTTAATTTTTCATAATATAGAGCCGACTCTCATTTGTGGTGCGGTGGTGTGGTGGTTGTAATTGTGGTGGGTGGAATCATGGAGGTTATGGTTATCGTTGAGGTATTGATGGTGGATAATTGTAATTAATAGTAATGATTAGTAGTTCTAATAAGTAGATAATAAGCAATAAAAGGAGATATACACAAGGGTGAATTGGTCATATTCTAAAGGGAAAATGACCTTTGAGGGTAATAAAGTATTCGTCTTGTATTCATTAGGTCCCTTATCTTTTTTTTGTCTTTATTATACCATTGAACTTGTAATCCCTGTTCACCAAAGCCCTTGATACCGGTTGTTGTAGGTTACTAGTTATGTGGATATTACGTGGCATTATGTGCCATAAACTGGGCTTATTAATTGCAAAGTTAAGTACTGCATCTTCTTGCCCTAGATCGACATGTCTTCTTCTTCTTCTTCTATTTCTTCCAAACGAAATGTTGAATTTCAACCTGAAAATCCTTGTTACTGTGGGTTACCATCTCGTGTACGAACTTCACGAACTAAAGAGAATCCAGGAAAAAAATTCAGATTGTGCCCTAACTCCATGGTAAAGCAATTGTTTTTTACTTTTCGTTTTATCTTCTTTCTTTAACCAATTTGTTACTTTTTTCAAGAATGAAGGACCAAAATGCAAGTTCTGGGAATGGTTGGAGCCTGAAACCCCTGAAAATGAAGTCAATTCTGGGAAGGACAAAAAAAACCGTGCAATTTAACCCTCAAAGTTTCTATATTGGAAAACGAGATCAGCATATGTAAGATGAAGATGGAACAAGAAAATTTGGTTGTTAGACAAGAGTTTGAAAAACTCAAATGGAAGTTATTTACTCATAAAGTTGTGATGATTGTGTTGTTTCTGTTGTTTGTGTTTAAGAAGTAGTTTAGCCCTTAATTTAACCCTTAGTTTAGCTGTATTCAAAGACTAAATGTAATCCTTTATGTTGTAATTTGTTTGATGTATTATGACTAAATCTTTTTGATTAATGATAGTTTGATGTTTTGAGTGCTTTCCAAGAAGTATTAATATGTTTAAAAGGTTAATGAATTGGACATGATGCATGGGTAAAATGGTCCAGATTAAATTTGGTAGTCAATTGTTATTGTGTTGATGTGATCCAAGGGTAAAATGGTCCAGAATAACCACATTGGATACATCAAACATTTCTTAATGTATTAAGACTAAATCTTGGCATTAATCAATTGTTAATGTGTTGATGTGATCCAAGGGTAAAATGGTCCAGATTAAATTTGGCAGTAATCAATTGTTATTGTGTTGATGTGATCCAAGGGTAAAATGGTCCAGATTAACCACATTGGATACATCAAACATTTCTTAATGTATTAAGACTAAATCTTGGCATTAATCAATTGTTAATGTCTTGATGTGATCCAAGGGTAAAATGGTCCATATTAAATTTGGCAGTAATCAATTGTTAATGTGTTGATGTGATCCAAGGGTAATATGGTCCAGATTAACAACAACAACAACAACAAACTTTGCTTAATGTAGTAATACTAAATTTACTTGATTTATGATAGATAATATAAGATTAAACAATCTATATGCAAATAACCGTACACCAAAGCATATAGATAAAAGACAAAGTTGTAATATTCCATCATCATGTGCACTATTACAAAAGCTGTGCCCACAGTTGTCCTAATATGTCAAAAGATGTGCCATGTGCCCACAGTTGTCCTAATATCCCAATTACATATTTATAAGACTAAAAGTTTGTCTTTCCAAATAAAATCATTCCAACACCATTGGGTTGTGTCCAGTGCTTCCTTCTTTCTTCAAAACCTTCATCCTCAACCCTATCTTGGTAATTCTTTCTGAGTATTTTCGTATCCTCTGCCTAGTTGCAACTGGTTGAGCAGGGACATCAACATCTGGATGTGGATCATCTACTTGAACTGGTTCAACATGTGGAGCTGGTACATCAACTGGATCCACTGGATCTGCTTGAACTGGATCAACCTGTGGAGCTGGTACTTGAACTGGATCCACTAGATCTACTTGAACTGGTTCCACTTTACCTGCTATACAAATATGTAGCTAATGAGTTGGATGTTCCATTTAAATTATATTGTTTTAATAGCATACCTTTCTCTTTTTTACATTTTTTAGGTTTCTTGTTTTTTGGCCTTGAAGTGGATGCTACATCTGCTGGTTTAGTAGGACATGTTGATCTATTGTGGCCCCTTTCTCTACAAATACTGCATCTATTAATTGAACCTGCTTTTGAGATAGTATGCCTTGTTTTCCCCTTGCTTTCCATCTCAGATTGATCTTTTTTCCTTTTAAGGGTTGGCCTTCCTGGTAACCTTCTTTTTTGAGGAGGCAATGGCTTCATGTAGGGAGCTTCAGGCCACATGGAACTACCATTAAGTGGGTTAATGGTATGGTTGTAACAAGTCAAGAACATGGCTGTATGGAACCATGGTGCAACATAATCCTCTGCATTCCTGTTAAGGTATGAAATGGCTGCCACTGCATGCACACATGGGATACCTGATACTTGCCAAGATCTACATCCACATGTGTTGTTGTTAAGGTCCACAGCATATCCATCATTTCCAATCCTAACTTCATATTGTTGTATCCCAGATGGTATAACACCCCAAAATCTACCCAAAAAAAATAAGAAGTTCTATTAATCTTATAGATGAGACATATAATATTTATAAAATAGAAGTTATATCATACCTTTGCTGTTTCTTTAGTTTTGATATCTTCAACCTTATAGATGGACATATTTTTAAATTCCCCCAACTTTGTCCCTCTTGCAACATTTTATACATACTCTCCATTGCATAAATCCTTATCTCTTCCAACATGGTGATGAGTGGCCTTTTCCTAGCAAGATCAATAACAGAGTTGAAACTTTCTGATATGCCATTCTCATAAGCATCACAAGCCCTGTCCACTTCAAAAAATGCCCTGCACCAACTTTTAGGGTCCCTTTCCATGAGGTGTTCATAAGCCAAAGGATCAATTTTTTTTATGGAATTCATTTCTGCCTCAAATTTTGGTTGAGTAGTACTAGCAGCTGCTGCCCAAAACAACTTCCTATATTGTTCACCTTTGAAACTTTTCTTGAAGTTAGCATAGATGTGCCTAGCACATTGTCTATGCTCTGCTGTTGGAACCCTTTCTTTGACAGCCTCTATTAATCCCTGAAAGAAATCATGAAATAGATGACATAACAAAAACATTCAACTTAAACAAAACAAAACAGAAATATACCTTGTGTTGGTCTGATATGAGGGTCAATCCATGACCAATTCCCATTTCAATGTCATCCAGAAGGAGGTCAAGAAACCACTTCCATGTTTCCTTATTTTCAACTTCCACCACAGCCCATGCAATAGGGAAGATGTGGTTGTTTGCATCCCTACCCATAGCTGCTAACAATTGGCCTCTACATATACCCTTTAAAAAACAACCATCTACCCCTATTACCCTCCTACATGCTGCAATCCAACCATCCTTCACACCCTTAAAACAAACATACATTTTAGAAAAGTAGGTTGTGGAATCAGGCATGACATTCACATCTATCTTTACTGTTGAACCAGGATTTGTCCTCATATTTCTTCTCCATAACTCCATACTTTACCATAATGTTCTATCAAACTACCCTCTATCTCATCCAAAGCATATCTCCTAGCATTTCTACATTGAGTGACACTAACAATCAAGTTAAACTTTGTACTCACTTTAGCCTTCATTTTCCTTATGCTCATTATAGGGTTCTTCAGAAGTTGATTCTTAAAATGCATTCCAATCCATTTATATGTTACAATGGAACCAAGTTTGAAGACTTTTGAATAGTTATGTTCATCAACTAATGACTTAATTTGGAAAGACCTTTCACTGCTCATCCAGGAAGCCCACAGTCTAAAAGGACAAGAGGGGTTCTTGTTCTCTTTACAACATCTCACTAATAACCTCTGACTATCATTTTTCTCAAAATAAAGGTTGTACCCATTCTTCACTGCATAGTTAGTCAAACAAATTTTCAATTCCATGGGGTTAGAGAATCTCATACCTAGAATTGGCACCATTTTGTCCCATTTCTGGTTCTCATTATGGACAGGGTACACTGGTTTGTCATCTCCATTCTTGGTTTCAACCTCATCAGTTTCAGCCTCATCATTTATATCCTTACACATACCTGACACCCGATGTAAGAATTCATCACCAATAGTCTTGTCAAGAGAAGGAATGTAATCATCTGTTTCATGCTCATGTGGAATATCATCAGAAAGTTGTGAATCTTTATCATCATCCAGGTCTTCGTCGAAATAATGCCCTTCATCATCAGCCCAATCAAGTACAGGTTCATTTTCGTGGTCTATATACACATTCATTCTTAGACCGGCTTCATCACTATAACCCGTTTCAATAAACTCAAAGTAGTCAGCATCATTCGTAATTCTCCTAATACCCTCTGCCAATGGTTCATTTCTAGTGCAATAATATACATTATCACAACTGCCTTCAATCAACTTTGCAATGAACAAGTTAAAGTCTTTGAAATCCATTGCACCAAAATCGACATCACAGATTGAAACAACAACAACGTTCAAGTACACTAATGGTTTTGGTGCGAATAAACCATTATAATGTAAATAAACTGTTAAATACTTACTTTGTTTGGAATCGGAGGCCATCTTCTTCACTATAACCCTCGCATTCACCAGTTGTCTTCAATTTCCTAACCGTATGCTTCGATTGAACTTTTTCTTCCCTCAATTAAAAAGAACCCTAACTGTAAGGACAAACAGGTGAAAGAGAAACGGTAATTAAATGTGTTCTAATTCCACGTAATAAGACATGTCATCTCTAATTAAATGTGGTAACCGGTAAAACAGGTGATAACCGGTCACGGTGGCTTTGGTGAACAGGGATTACAAGTTCAATGGTATAATAAAGACAAAAAAAAGATAAAGGACCTAATGAATACAAGACGAATACTTTATTACCCTCAAATATCATTTTCCCTATTCTAAAAATATAAACCGTTAGGTTGTTAGATCTAATAATGCAAGACTACTGGTGTTACCAAAATCCTTTACAACGACCATCCATAACAAAGACCGATACCATGACAAAAAGTAAGAACTTGGATAAACCGTACGGACCAAAAATGTATTTTACTCTAACTTTATTATATTGAGAAGACCGACCATGTACTCCATCTCTAATACAAATAGGTGAAATGGTAAATAGGTGAGGTGAAGAAGGGTAGAATGGTAATAGAGGCAAAGAGGAAGGCGTAAAGATAAGGACGCCAGGCTGTCCCGCCAAGCCAAGACCCTCTTCAAGTGAAAGTTGTTGTTTAACTTTGTAACTTGTATCGCCTCCAACCGCTACAAACGCCAGCGGTGCACCCATTATTATGCCCTTCCTTATTTACTTTTCATATTTTACTCTTTTAATAAACAATTATATATCTTTTTTTTAAATTATTATAAATACTTCCCAAAAAAGGTTACACAACTTGATTATTAAACACCCAAAAAGATTATACGGGTTATTATTAAATTATTTGTATTTTGTAGATAACTTTTCGACCTGCTTTTTGCAACTCATAAATATTTAGCTTTAAAAAGATTTTTCTTTTAGTTTGAAATGTTGTATGTAAAATAAATAAATAAACATTTTAATCTTGACCCATTTTGGATCAACAAAAACTTTTTATTTGTACATGTTTCACATTTAAGTTTTAAGTTAATTAGACTAAATTGTTATCTGTTTTTTTTTATCAATATCGATTCATATAAAACTAAAACAAATATATTTACATCTAATATATATCTAAATATATTAAGGACAAAACTTCAAAAATGGTCCCTGTGGTTTTCAAAAATATCAAGTTTAGTCATTAAGTTCAAAAAACCTCACACATGGTCCCTGTGGTTTCAAAACTTTTAACAAATGATCCTTTTCGCTAACTCCGTTAGCTTTTGGCCGTTAAGTGAAGGGTATTTCCGTCATTTCACAAAAGAGGGACCATTTATGAAGTTTTTTGTTATATAAAAAAAATATAATTATTTAATAAAGGCTCTCTCTCTCTCTCTCTCTCTCTCTCTCTCTCTCAAAAGAACCTATCTTAAATTGGATCTTCACTTCGTCGATGAACTCAAATGCAAAAGGGAGATGGTGCGTCTTCTTCGTCTGATCAGGGAAGAACACGAATGGAAGCAATCAAAAATCGAGGGTACTAGTGAGGTTCAAGCAGATCACAAGGTGGGACTGAGAAAGGGACCTCGGACTTCATCTTTGTCTTCATTAGATCGAGAAGGCATCAGGCAATCGAAGGCAGTCAAAATGGTAGTCATGTGGTTGGCGATCGTGAGAAAGGGGGAGGGGGCGTCGGTTGTACAGGTTTCCTCCGACGGTTTACTTCTTTCATTTTGCCTCATCGCCGGCCGTAACCCGATAGAAGGGAGACAGTAGCAGCATCTTTCGGTCAAGGGAATTAGGGGGTGTTCGAGGCTGCTTTTGGTCGTCTAAGGGAGAGCTGCCAGTGCTTTTCTCGTGACAGTTTCTCAGCAGTTTAAGCCTTGCTAGGAGGCTACTTTGGGTGTCAATGGTACTTGAAAATACAACAAGCAAGTGGTGGGTTTTGAATTAACGAAGCAAGGATGGAGATGGGGCCGAAATAGTCGAGAATCGGAGATGTAGAGGCCGATATCCCGTTTTTCCATCTTTCCTGAGCTGTGGCTTCAAGGGAATGCAGAGAGAGAGAGAGAGAGGGTGGGACCCTTTATTAAATAATTATATTTTTTTAAATAACAAAAAACTTCATAAATGGTCCCTCTTTTGTGAAATGACGGAAATACCCTTCACTTAACGACTAGAAGCTAACGGAGTTAGCGAAAAAGACCATTTGTTAAAAGTTTTGAAACCACATGGACCATTTGTGAGGTTTTTTAAACTTAGAGACCAAACTTGATATTTTTGAAAACCACATGGACCATTTTTGAAGTTTTGTATATATTAAATTAAAATTAGTATTTCCAAAACTTATAGCAAAGAAATATTGATTTTTGCGAATATAAACTTTATGACAACTATCGCTTAAAACATCAGTCATGTAACATGAATAACATATTAACAACCATAGCAAGTTTGTGACACAAATAATACATTTTTCTCATATGACAAACTACAATAAAATAATCTGAAAATACAGGTTAACCATTTAAGATCAAAACTATTTAAATAGTTTGGAATTGCTTACGATATCATTAGATCAAAACTGTTTAAATACAAAGGGAACTTAAATCGTAGATAAACAGGGAGAAGATAAACTATAATCTAGTAGATATCAATCTAGGAATTCTAATAATACAAAGAAAAGGATGGAACATTGTTTTCATAAAACCCAAGTCACAAATATAAGTGTCAAATACGAATATCCCAAAAATCAGAGTATCCAAACAGATGGAAATCAAAAATTGCAGAGGATGTGTACGATCAAGCCTTCGCCTTTCCCAAATCATCCAAAGTACATGAAACAAGAAATCCACAACTATAAGCTCAAGCTTAGTAGGTTTCCCAAAATACCCAACACATCAGAAATACAATTAGAATGCATGCATAAAGGGTTTGTTGGCCATAGCCTCAACCCAACCATCAAGGTTTGTTGATGTAGAATATCAACCTAACCATTTGGGTTTGTCGACATAGAGTCTCAACCCAACCATACGGGTTGTTGGTCCACTATACGAAGTAATACCTCAACCCAACCATCCGGGTTATTGGCTTTTCGCCTCCACCTAACGATATGAATATGTCGACATATGCAAATAACAATTAGGCATATAATGGTCCTACACCAAGTACATAACAAAAACAAATAAGTCAGCTTTGGTGCCTTCGACCCATAGGCATAGCGAGAGAAATCACCTCAAAACCGAGATGATGGCTGAAAGAACGCAACTCCGAGTATCGAACCTACAGGTCACCTATATAGAAAAAGAAGGACCAATCCTCAATCCACAACTCAAATACAACCTCAATTACCCTATATGACCTAAAGTCAAACTTGTTCAAAGTCAACAGCCAACAGCCAAAAGTCAACCTCCAGTTAGTGGTCATGCTTGGCTATGTTGTGCCTGCTAAATGACAAAACAGATGGACCTTAGCCCATTTGACACACTGTGGCGACCTAAGGCCATAGCATGGGCATTAGGCTCCTAACAACTTAATCGGTTAAGCTGTTTTCTTCGATTCTAAAGGCTCCAAAGCTCAGATCTGGTCCATTTTATGGTCTAAGTATATAAAGTTTCACACTTTATCCTTTTAGACTCTCCAAGAGATAGAGATCTCACTCCTATATCCAAAAATGGGACAAAACACAACTTGGCTTAAATCAATAAGAACTTAATCTTGAAGACCTCTGATCCAACACTCTTTGAAAGGTATCTAACATCATAAATAATATAAAACCCCATGATTTTCTGACATGCATGTCTTGAACTCCTATTAGGTTAAAATGAGGGTTTATGGCAAAAAATTCTGCATCACACCAAAACTCATTTCTAATCCAGATCTAAAGCACCAAATACTCCAAATGGTTTGAAGATTAATAAGGTTGCAAACTTTATGAGATCTCACTACCCCAACCAACAAGAACATGAAATTTAAGGACAAAACTCAAGATATAGTAACCTATCATGTTAAAAATTGAGTCATGAACACCTACAAGGATCCAAAAGAGTGCTATAACAAAGGATGATGACTTGCTTGTTGAATCTTAGCTCACTTCTTCTTCTTTCTTCCTTAAATGGATTCAAAGAACACCAAAAAGGGATTAAATAAAGTAGGAAGGATATTAGGATTGCTCGGGTCTTAAGGAGGCTGATGGAGGTTGAGGGTGAGCAAACCCCAGCCTCATCATTCCTTTAAATAGGGAGCAAAACCCGGAAATTAGGGTTTGTCACTTGCCAATTGCCATGTTGTTACCATATACTTCCACGTTGTGACAGCTTAAATGAACATGCAATATTAACTTGATTTTCCACGTCTTGGTTCCTCCACCACGCCATGGTAAAACCTAAAATACCAAAAATTGGAAATGCAAGGTACCTCAGGATCCGGGTGTTACAAATCTCCCCCTAATTGAATCAGACTTTGTCCTTGAAGTTTGTTACTACAAATAACTCAAGGTAATGCTCTATCATCTCATCCTTCGGCTCCCACATCCACTTAGAGCCCTTCTGGTGTTGCCATTACACTTAACCAAATTCACCTCTTTGTTGCGCATAGTCTTTGTCTTTATGTCTAGAATCGCAATGGTCTCTCCACATAGTTCACACACTCGTCAATCTGAATGTCATCCAAAGGAATCACCACAGAATCATCGGATAAATACTTTCGTAACCGAGAGACATGGAAAGTGTTATGGATATGACTGAGCTCCTCAAGCAAATCCAACTATTGTGCAACCTTGCCTACCTGGGCGATAATCCTGAAGGTACCGATAAACCGGGGGCGTAACTTGCCTCGCTTCCAAAACCAGATTACACCCTTCTAACGTGACACCTTTAGAAGCACCAAATCCCCCACTTGGAACTTGAGGTTCGATCGTGTCCAGACATCATAACTCTTTTGTCGGCTCTGGGATGTCTGCAGTCTCTACCTGATCTATTGGATAAGCTCT